CAGCAGACACGGAGATGCCTCGCAGCTGGCCCAGCGCTGGCTCCGGGCCCTGCTGTGCCCACGCGGTGAGACAGGACCGCGCAGCGACTGAGGCTGAAGGCCGAGTTCCCGGGCCCCAGGCAGAAGAGCTGTGCTGTGTGAGCCCCAGGCCCGCCAGCCGCTGCTTGGCTCTGGGCCACGCGTGTCACCTCGGCTCCACCGCGTAACCATGTCTAAAGCCACTGGCAGAGTGGCTGGCACATAGTAGGTGCTTCAAGAATTTCTTCCTATTCTCCCTATCGAAGTAACGCTGAGAAGTTAGGGCCCCATTCCCTTCGGGGTACCATGTATGTGGGCCAGTCTGAGAGTCGCTGTTGGGAAGGCTGGAATAAGGGGCAGGACGGAGGGCAGCCCTTCCCTGTGCTCCCACCATGAACAGCCTCGCAGGGTGTGTGGCATCTGTCCTTTTCACACCGGTGCCCGCTTGTCATTGTTCGAGGTCCCGCACTGGCTGCAGCCCGGTTGCACTCACAAAGGACCTTTGGTTCCTGGGCGGCAGCAGAGGCGGCCGCTTTGCTGCCCTTCGCTGGCAGCCTCGGCCTCAGGAAAGCCCGCGTGCCCGTGAGGAGTGTCTGGGAGGACCACGAGGGCAGGCACGACCGGGGGGGTCACAGTCAGCACGGGCATCCTGAGAGTGGCCGGATGGCTCCACTGCTGGCCCGTGTCCCCGGAGCCTGGAGGCCGGAGTCCCGGGGTTTATATGGGGACACTGTCCTGCGTCCGCAGAACATCTTCCTATTTATTTGTGTTTTTGCTAGGAATCTCTTTGGCAAGAGCAGGTATGTGTATGTGCTTTAACTAGAACGTTCTTAGCTGGTGCACGCAGACAGCCTTCAGTGTTGTGTATTAGTGAGCTTTCTGGAAACGCGGGGCGCCTGGGTTTCCTGGGGTGTGTTTGGAGAGGCTGGGCGAGTGCGGTGAGGCTGCGCTGCCCTTGGCTTCTGGGCCAGCGTCCCTGGACTGGATTCCTCAGAAACGGCCTGTCTCTCAGACCTTCGCACAGGGCTGGGCCGGGGGCATTCCGAGGCGTGGTAGTCAGGCTCCTCCTGAGCCTGGAGCTGGGCCGGCAGAGGAGATGCTGGCACAGGGGAGGCCCGGAGTCAGGCAGACTGGCCCCAGGGACGGGGTTCCGTAAGTGCACGGAGCAGGCGGGCACCGGCTGGGCGCTGGCCCCTCCGTGAGGAATGCGCCATGCCCCCAGGCACTGAGGCCGCTCCAGGAGAGTCCTCTCCTGCTCGCTTTCTCTCCTGCTCTGGGCAGGTGGGCCCTCCATGGGGGCCTCATTCTAGTCCCCCACAGCCACAGGCCACTGCTGTCCTTAGCCACGTCCCCAGCGGCTCTAACCACTGGTCTTGGATGTCTCTCCAGGTCAGCAGCTCATTCACGGGGTCTGTGGCTGCTGGACCACATGCAAATTCCCAGCACCCAGTGTCTGTTCTGTCTTCCAGGTGAGACTGTGGAGATGAGAAGGTGGTGGACACGTGATGGATGGAAATGGTCCTACTGTGCAGCCCCGCCCTGCCCCGCCCCGCCGTGCCTGCCGCCAGCACCTCCTCCTCAGTCCTTACATCACACTCAACCTGACACCACAGGGAAGAAAGACCCAAGAAGTCAGAATGGCTGTTTCCATGGACACAATCTCCATAGTGACAATGTGGGGGGAGGGGGGAGGGAGGGGGTGATGGGAAAGGGTGGGGGGAATTAAAAGGGAGGGATAAAAATATATATATATAAATCTATTTTTAGTCTGGAAAGACTTTGTTTAAATGAAAGGTGCGCTGTCCCTTTTGATTCTATTTTAAAATTATCTAGTTAAAGAACTCCAAATTGGTTCCAATAACAGTGAAATTTAAATGTGAAATTGAACTGAACAAACTCATCTCATGGAGGATGGGAGAGTGGCTTTGACGGTTAGCCTGTCTCACGCCAGTTCAGACAGCTCGAGACCAGGACTGAGAGCAGACAAACCACCCAAACCATCCTTGGGCGTCCGTTGTCTCAGCGTGGGAAGGCGGGGGGAGGGGAGTGGGGATGGTCCTTGTTTTCAAGAGTGGGAGAATGATGTTTAAACACAAAAATAAATTTTTTCATTTCCAGAAACACTATTTATTTATTATTTTAAAATTTTTTATCTTTTTTGGGGGGTGAAATTGGCAGATGCCCCGAGGTCACAGCTGTGTCCTGGGTCACGTGGCCGTGAGAACCCTGGGTGCCTCGCTGAGTGTGCGGGGCAGGCAGGGCCCTTCCGGGCAGCGGTGCCCTGCCCCGGGCTGGACAGGACAGGAAGTCCAAGCGCAGGAATGGCCACGGGAGGGACTGTCTGAGCAGTGTGGGGAGGCCCTTCATTCGTTCTGCTTTCGTGTTTATAAAGGAAAGGGGGCTGTCGGCTGAGCGGCTCCGTGCTACGTGATTCTTTATGTTGTATTGTTTTGTTTTGTAAAGTGTATAATTTTTAAATATCTGAGTTTTAAAAAAAAAAAAGAAAAAAAGTACAAAAAAAATTCTTGTTAAGGCCTTAAGAAGGGGTTAGTGCATCTTTCAGGGGTCACTCTGCCATGGGGATAAAATAGCTGTTTCACAAACAGTTTTATTTAAAAAAAAAATCCAAAAAAAAAATAATAAACTTCATTTTAACCTTGTTTCCTTATTTGTTTACTATAAAGCAAACGCGCCTCTCTGCCCATCCCAGCCCCCAAAGGTGGCCCTGGTCCTGCAGCCGACTGGCCTCTGCCACTCAGCAAGGGCGGGGGGGGGGGGGCGGGGGGCTCGGCCAGTGCGTGGGGACGATCAGATTTACTTAAGTTGATCTGAGAACATATTTCCAATCAACATTAATTTCAAAGGTTATAAAAAAATAATGCAACGTTAATGGCCTTTTTTAGAGAACAGAAATACTGGCGGGAGTGTTGTGAGGTAGAAATAAGCAATTGTAAATTGAGTTCTTGTGCGCTCATCAATGCGGGGCTGCAGGAGTGGCAGATTAATTTCGTTTTAGTGGCTACATCAAGCAGTGTGGTCCACTTCTCCCTCCGCCGCCAGGACGGGGCGGTGGCGTTCCGTGTGGGCCCTGGGCCCTGGGCCCTGCGGGCCTGCAGCTGGTCTCGCCTTGGCGTTAACACAGTTCAGGTGAAACTGCTGGATTTCAGGTGACGAGGGCTAAACCACAAAACTTGAAAAAATACGCATCTTGAGGAAAATATTTTCCTGACGGCAAATGATTCTTCATCATTTTGCCTTTTGTTCTCCTGTCTCCTTTTGACTCGTTGGTGATGCTTGAGGGAGGTGCCTGTGGGTGTCCTGGCTCTTTGCTCAGACCGGCTCCTGAACGGCCTGTCAGCGGCCTGGCTGCGCTCCCCGCCCTCCTGGCCCCAGAAGTTGCAGCCGCTCCTGCGCATCAGCTCCCGCCACTTGGGTTCTGTGCATTTTATTTAATATATTTAATTTTTTAGAGCAGTGTTAGATTCATAGTGCTAAGCAAAGGTACAGAAAGTTCTCGTATGCCTCTCCCTCGCGCCTTACCCACCATACACTGCCAGCACCCCACCCCCGGCGCAGTGGTACACGAGTTACATTAATGAGCCCATTCTGGCACATTGTCATTCGAATCCCATAGTTTACAGCAGTGGGTTCCGACACATGTGACATGTATCTGTCACAGTATACAAAGTGGTTTCACTACCCTAAAAATCCTCTATGTTCCTTCTGTTCATCCCTTCCTCCCGTAGCCCCTGGCAACCACTGGTCTCTCTTTTTTTTTAATGTTTTTCTAATTGATTTTTATATAGAGAGAGGAACATCGATGGGCTGCCTTCTGCACGCCCTCTACCAGGGATCAAGCCCGAAACCCGGGCATGTGCCCTGACAAGGAATCAAACGGGGACCTCTCAGTCCATGGGACAACACTCCATCCACAGAGCCACACCGGCCAGGCCACCACCGGCCTCTTACTGGCTCCATGGTTTTACAGTTTCCAGAATGGCATGTAGTTGGAATCAGTATGTGGCCTTTTCAGATTGGTTTCTTTCACTTTGTGAGAGCATTAAGTTTCCTCCATGTCTTCATGGCTTGATAGCTCATTTATTTTTATTTTAATGATGTGAGAGAAACATCAATTTGTTCCACTTACTTATGCATTTATTGGTTCATTTTGTAAAGTGTATTGTATGTGCCCTGACCAAAGGTCGAACCCGCAACCTCGGTGTATGGAGATGATGCTCTAACCAACTGTGCTACCTGGCCAGGGCCATACCTCGTTTCTTTTTAGTACTGTGTGATACTCCATTGTCTGGAGGTACTACAGTTCATCCATTCATTTAATGAAGGACACCTTGGTTGCTTCCAAGTTTTGGCAATTACGAATAAAGCCACTATAAACATCCATGTGTTTGCTTGGACATAACGTTTCAGCTCCCTTGGGTTAATACCAAGGAGTGCGATTGCTGGATCATTGTAAGAGAAGGTTTTGTAAAGAACTGCCCAACTCTCTTCCAAAGTGGCTGCACCCCTGTGCACCCATCAGCAGCTAATGAGCATCAGTGTTCTGGAGGGTGAACATTCCAACAGGTGTGTGGTGGTGATGTTTTTGTTTTTTTAAATCCTCACCAGAGGATATTTTTCCATTTATCTTCAGATAGAGTGGGAGAGAGAGAGAGAAAGAAAAACATCACATGGAGAGAGACATGGACTGGTTGCCTCCCACGCAACCTGGACCAGGGCCAGGACGAACTGCAACCAGGGTACTGCCCTTGGCCGGAATCGAACCCGTGACTCTTGGCCCGCGGGCCGCACTCCGACCACGGAGCCAAACCAGCCAGAGTTGGTGTGTTTTTTAAAGTAATTTTTAAATTATGTTCTTGACAAGATAAGTCTGCGATAAGTTTTCAGCTCAGCAGTGCTACTACATTGCGCAACGGATCCCCGGAACTGCTGGTCTTGCCAAGCGGAAGCCCTGCGCCCTGAGCCCGCGGGAGGCGAAGCGCAGCCGCCCTGCCGGCCTCCAGCGCCCGGGCCAGGTGAGCGCGGGGCCTGCGGCGCCCGCCCCCGGCCGCAGCTTCCAGCCTTCCGGGCGGCCCAGGGCGGGGCGGGCTGGCTGGGCTGCGGGCGCTGCCGTGCGGGGGGAGGGGCTGCCGTGCGGGGGGAGGGGCGAGGCGCGCTAAATGCCACTGACTCCCCCAGGCCTGCTGGGTGCCTGCCACTCCATACCCGCTTTCCAGAGCCGCCCAGGTCGCTCCAGGTCCCGCGGTGGCGCCCAGGGCCGGTCTTCGTGCCTGGGGCCCCGGGCCGGTGCTTTCCGGCCCGCCATCTCTCTGACGTCACCCCGGACTCTGTCTCAGGTGGCGGTGTCCAGAGGACCCCTGTGCGGATGACCTGTGACACGCATGGGGGGGGGGCGAGCGCTCACTCCTCCTGCCCCAGCAGCGTCACCGAGCCGAGGGTGGCCCGAGTGTGTGTGCAGGAGAACCAGCCTGGCCGTGCTGGCCCTTCCAGAAGTTTATGCCCAAACTGCAGAGCAGCAGCGCAAAGCATGGGTTTGAGGTGGACCCTGAGGCTGCTCTGTAACAACCTGAGTGGTTCCTGAGACTCAGGCTCCTCTGTGCCTTAGAGACTACATGGCCACCGGCCTTACGGGCTGTGGGAGGACAGCAAGGGAACAGCAGTGCCTGGCACACGTGCCTGGCGCACGTGCCTGAGCGACAGAAGCTGATCTTACGCAACCATGGCCTGGCAAAAGGCCACAGGCCTCGTGATGGCAGGTTTTCCTCCTGCTGCCTGTCCTGAACAACAGCCCCTGTGGGGGGAGGGCACTGCCTGAATCACAGGCATGTCTGTCACTGCCCTTCACGTCCCTGCAGGATGACTGCTCGGGAGCGCAGGACATCCAAAACAAAGGGTACATGAAGGCAGTTTATTGAGGGTCACTGTGTCTCAAACACTCAAACCGTCCTGCCTGTCCCAGTCCTAGGTAGAAAGTTGCTGCCCGCTGGGACAGGGACATTCAACTGAGGCCAAAGAGAAGCCCCAGGTTGGATCCAAGAACTCCTCAGGGTGCCTGTGGGTCTTGCCCTTCTGGTCTGTTTCCTGACCTAAAGATTGGTCTTCCTGTTTCCCGGAGGCCCAGGGATGCCGTTGTCCACAGTCCAGTCTTCAGCCAGGTTGCAAAGCCCCAGGCTCCAGTGCCTCCCTCCCACCGCTCCTCACCCGCCCTGCACAGGACTTCTCAGTGGCGCTGTGGTCCCACTGCCAGGTCATCTTGGCTTGCAGTGCAAAAGCCAGGCAAAGTCCTCCGTGAAGTCTTCCTGGGAAGTCCTGCTCCAGCCTGGGGCAGTGTCCCCACGACCCTCAAAGCAGTCTGCACTGCTGGCCTGGCGTGTCAGCTCTGACTTCCTCTATGGATAAGGACCTGGGAGCAGGTGCCCACCCTCCAACCCAGCACCCAGCACCTGGGATGCCCAGCATGGGTGAAACAGAAATCCAAGCCCTGGCCAAAGCGAGGTGCAGGAAGGGCCCAGCTGGGCCCCAGCAAGCTACACCACACCCTTGGGCCTGGGGCCCAGCAGGGGAGTAGGCTGCGGGAATTCGGGAAGGGGGGAACAGTATTCACACACCCAGCAGGATCTGCAGACGCTGAAAACCAATACCAAGAGGCCACAGTACTCTGATGTTCGGAGGCACCCTGGGAAGAACCCAGTGCTCTTCCTGTTGGGGAGTGAGAGAGAGAAGCGGGTGTGGGTGGGGAGGGCTTCCTCCAGCCCTGCTTCCGCTGGGGGGGAGCCCCTTCACGACCCAGGGATGCTCCAGCTGTTTCCAGAATGAGAACTTGCCTCACATACTCCTGGGATAGGTGAGGGGCCTGATTCTTACCAGGCAATGCCCCTTCCCAACTCTGGGCTCCTAGGTCTTTGCATTTGAATGGGTTTGGCCTCAATGTTCCCACCAGCTTAACTGGTTTAAAACTCTAATCCCATCTCATTAACTGTGGACGAAGGAGAGTGCTGAGGCCAGCAGGCAGCGGCCCTGCCCTGGCACAGTGTAGTCACCCTCTGCTTGGAAGGGGTGAAGAGGTTGAGCAAGAGGAAGGGCCTGGTAGCCACAGTCCCAGCCTGGAGTTGGCATGCTCTGGCAGGAGGCGGTCCTGAGGTTTGCATCTTTCCTTGAGGCACCACAGCGAAGGGGACCTGGCAAAGGGAGAGGCAGGAGAATCTACTGTTACAGTCCTCAGCAGGTCTGTGAGGGTATCAAGAAACTATGTCATCCCTACTTGGTTTCCATCCCCTTGTCTCCCAGAGTTTGAGCAGCTGATGTTCAAGGACAAATGATAATAATGAGGAGAAGAAAGCAGCTCAGTCAACAAGGGAAAGTGCCCGCTCCGTGTTTCTCTGAGTCAGGAAAGTGAACCCAGGAGTGGAAGAGATTCATTACCTGCCATCTCGGCCTGCCGGGATCAGTGTAACGCAATGAACTACAAGCACACGCTGCTTGGAGTGAGGGGGAGCTTTGCAAGGGAGCAAATGCTCCAGATCTTAGGACGCAGTCCCATTTATTTGTAGATTGGTTCCCCAAGGTTATAAGTGGATTTATGTAAATTATTTCCTTGAGATGGCATCTCTGCAAACCATACAGCCTAGCCTTGTCTCTCACTTTTTCCACACCTGGGCCTATGACCCATCATCTTCTCTGAGTGGTCTTCCAACTCTTTGTCATGCAAATCTTATCTATTCACATAAACAGAACACAGTTCAGACAGGGTGGCATTCCTACCCTTCAGGCAAACTTTGATCCTAGGCTGGCCAGGTTGCGAGAATGCATATCACAAGGTTACAAATCATATGCCTACTAAACCCCCATTCCCACAGTTACCTAGGTGGCCACCAGAGCTAAGGGGTCCAGGATCAATTTTTTTAAATGTGTTTATATTGATTTTTTAGAGAAGAAGGGGGAGAGAGAGGGAAAGATCAATGTGAGAGAGGTACATTGATTGGCTGCCTCCTATACACCCCCCCCCCACTGGGAATCGAGCCCACAACCCGGGCATGCTCCCTGACCAGAAATCAAACCGGGACTTCTCAGTCCATGGGATGATGTTCAATCCACTGAGCCACACCAGCCAGGCCCAAAGACCATTTTGTAACAAACTTAAGAAAGGGTCCTTGGGCCATCGAACTGGCTTGTCAGGGTGACCAGGGAGCTCTAAAATAATTCTGCTGCCTCCCCACCCCCAGGTTCAAACTCACCACAGCCGCAGCCAGGCCGAAACCCAGGAAGCTGGGTCAGCAGCCAGCCAGGTGAGGGTCCTCAGCATCACTGCAAGCACCTGGCGGTGTGGGGGTTGTGTCCAGGTGGGGCCCACTGAGAACGAGGGGACGTGTGTGTAAGCTGTGCATGTGTTCATGTGTGTGTGTGGTTTTGTGGGTGTGTAAAGGTGTGCATGTGATTGTGTGTCAGTCTGTGAACATGTGGGTAGTGTCTGGGAATTTGTGTTTTGTGTGTAATTCTGTGTTGAGTGGACTAGTGTGAACTGAAGGAACACCAAGAACATTATTCCTCCCCCACCCCCACAGAGTCCCTGTGACCTCCATGCAGCTCTGGTCAAGGGTCAGTAACAAACCTTGGAGGTGAAGGCCACTCAGGCAGGGACATGTTCTAGGGACAAGGCTGTGACCACATTAGGTGTGAGCCTAACGTGACAGGTGGCAGAATCAGGTTTGAAAACCCCCGGTTCTTCCTCAGAGTCTATACAGAGCTGGGGAGTCAGATGGGGGTGGGCGTCTCATCTTCTCCCCCCTACCCTAGGAAAGCACCTGGAGGGACTGGACTCTGACCACCCCTGCACCTGACCTTCCTTGACCCTCCCTGTACTCTCTGATGGCACAGTCACTCCCCAGATAGGTTGACTCAGGGCAAAGGGCAAAAGTCTCTGCTCGCTTTGTAAAGCCCAGGCTGGGCCAGCCCACAGGGTGTGGTGCGGGTAACCTGCCTGGCCTGATCCTAGGTGCCTGGTGTGGGGAGAGTGCGCCCAGAGGAGCCCAGTGGACACTGAGACAGCCATGGGGCTGCTGCCTGGAGAGGCCCTGTGGACCCTGGCTGTGGCCGTGGCCATCTTCCTGCTCCTGGTGGACCTGATGCACCGGCGTGTGCGCTGGGCTGCACGCTACCCGCCAGGCCCCATGCCACTGCCTGGGGTGGGCAACATGCTGCAGCTGGACCTCCAGGACATGCTGCTCAGTATTAACCAGGTGAGGAGGGCTGGGCGTGGGCAGCAGAGGTCCTGGAAACCTCCCCTCGCAGCAGGCTGGACAAGGAGCTGAGAAGAGGAGGCAGGTTTGAGAGGCCTTCTGAGGAGGACATTAGTGCAGGGCCTGAAGGACAGTGAGGATTTCCCAAAGGTCAGAGAGGGCAAAGGCTTGGAGAAGGGGTGGGATTGGCAGTGGGTTTGGGTTCCGTTTGGACCATGCTTAAATTATGTGAGTCTGAGTCCCTTCTGTTTAGATCAGGAGGGAAAGTCTTAAGAATGGGGGAGAGGAATCTGGTCGTGAGCCCCATTTAAGTCAGAAAATCATGGTTGAGGGAGGTAGAGAGCGGGTTCAAATGTTTTGCTCCGTGGGTCCTTATGCCTCACTGCTCACTTCTATGAACCTCACTTTCTTCACCTGTAAAATGGGGTGCTAACTTGACAATTTTGGTGACCTTTGCAAAGTCATAGCTGGGTAGTCTGATCCAACCTGCGGCCCTTGACCATAGAGGATGTGACCCCCAGGGTCCCCAGGCCAGATCAAGTCGGTGACCGTTCGCTGCGGACGGCCCAGGTGTCCCGCAAGGCTAGCACCATGAGACTGCGGCCAAGCTTCACCCACACCCTGGACCCTCCGCCTGCAGCTGCGGCGCCGCTTTGGGGACGTGTTCAGCCTGCAGCTGGCCTGGAAGCCGGTGGTCGTGGTCAATGGGCTGGAGGCCGTGCGCGAGGCGCTGGTGGGCCGCGGCGAGGACACGTCCGACCGTCCACCTACGCCGATCTACGAGCACCTGGGGTTCGGGCCGCTCTCCGAAGGCAAGCGGAGGGGGGCCACCGCGGCAGGGCGGGACAGAGACGGCAGTGACCGAGCCCCAGGAGGCCCAGGCGAAGGGGTGGTGGACTCGTGGCGCAGGGAAGTCAGCGAATTTGAGGGGCGGGTAGGTGGGGGGGAGCCTGTGCCGAGGGTAGGCGAGAGGGTGTGGGCGGGGCCTACTGAGAGGGAGGCTGGGTGGGCGGGAACGAGGACGTCAAATCAGCGTGGGTGGGGCAGTGGGTGGGCGGGACCTTCCCCCAATGGGGTTGTGGGTCATGTGGGCCGAGCCGAGAGTGGGGTCAAGACCTGCCCCCGGCAGGTAGAGCTGGCGAGCAATGTGACGGGCAGAGAGTGGGCCCTGCCCCCAGCTGGCAGGGGGTGTCGAAGTTGGCGGGAATGGGTGGGGTGCAGGACAAGTTAGGGAGGGCAGAGCAGGGGGCGGGACCTGCAGCACAAGGGACGGGACTTGTGGGCCGGCGCCCGGCCAGGACCGTCCCTGCCTGAGGGGCGGGGCAGGGGAGCCTCCAGGCGGTGCGGGCAGAGGCGGGGCCAGGCCCGGCCTCAGCCACGTTCGATTCCCGCCACCCAGGAGTGATCCTTGCGCGCTATGGGCACGCGTGGCGCGAGCAGCGGCGTTTCTCCGTGTCCACCCTACGCAACTTCGGCCTGGGCAAGAAGTCGCTGGAGCAGTGGGTGACCGAGGAGGCCACCTGCCTCTGTGCCGCCTTTGCTGACCAGGACGGTGAGTGCTGGGGCTGAGAGGTAAGACGGATGGAGGGGCTGGCGAAGAGATGGAGGGACAGCCCCCAATCTGCACCGCCCTGTTCTAGGACGCCCCTTTAGCCCCAGAGATCTCCTGAATAAAGCGGTGAGCAACGTGATCACCTCCCTTGTCTTTGGACGCCGCTTCGAGTACACCGACCCGCTCTTTCTGAAGCTGTTGGCCATACTGGAGGAAGGACTGAAGGAGGAGTCGGCAACCCTGCGCCAGGTCCGGGAGGGGGGCGGCCGCGGGCAGCCAGCTAGGCCGCTCGGTGGAAGGCAGGCCTGCGCCGCGCGAAGGGCTCCCGGGAGGAGAGTTTATGTGGAGGGGCTTTGGAGAAATGGCATTTCAGAAGAGGAGGCACTGCCAGGGACAGGCCTGGAGGTGAGGAAATCACAGCAGAGGTGGGAGAGGCAGGCCAGGGTCAGACTGCGCCTGAGCGCGCTAAGGAACCTGTACCTCCTTCGCTAGAAGCCACAGAACCAAGGGTGAACCTTCTGGCAGTCTAGGCCAGGGGAGAGGGTCAAGGCCCCGTGTAGGGAGGAACCAAGTCAATGGTAGCAACACCTCAGAGGCAACACCTCAAATTCGCTGACTTGTCAAGCAGAACACCTGAGCCACAGAAGGGCCACCCAGGACCCACTGTGGCTTGCACAGGTGGTAGACGCGTTCCCAGTGCTCCTACGCATCCCGGGGCTCCCTGGCAAGCTCTTCGCGGGGCAGAAGGCCTTCATGGACATTGTGGATGAGCTGATCACGGAGCACAGGATGACCCGGGACCCCACCCAGCCACCCCGAGACCTGACTGACACCTTCCTGGACAAGGTGAAGGTGAGGGGCAGCTGCCAGGGATGGAGCCCAGGGTCGTTGATTGTGCCATGAGGTGAGCCCAGAAAGAGTGGGGCCTGAGTCACCCGGGATGTGGCACCCAGGCTGCAGGGTGTATTGGGAAGCCATTTGGGGGCTTCTTCCTTCTGCCCGAGCCCACCCTCTCTGCATGGCCCAGGCCAACGAGAACACCAAGAGCAGCTTCAGTGATGAGAACTTGCGCATCGTGGTGGCGGACCTCTTCATTGCCGGGATGGTGACCACCTCGACCACACTGACCTGGGCCCTCCTGCTCATGATCCTGTACCCGGAAGTGCAGTGTGAGCCCAGCCTGGGGGCCAGGTGGGATGGGTGAGGGAGGAAAGGGACGACAGCCTGGGACCCCTGAGCTTGGTTTGGCTACCATGAGCTCTAAGCAGAGGCTGGGTCCTGACTCTGAGATCAAAGTGACCTCCTCCACCACAGGGGCCCAGCCTCTGGAGGTCAGAGCCCAGCCCTGAGCCTGACCCTGTGGGGATGCTTGTCTGCCCAGGCCGTGTCCAAGAGGAGATCAATGCGGTAATAGGACAAGTGCGGCCACCAGAGATGGGAGACCAGGCCCGAATGCCCTTCACCATGGCCGTGGTCCATGAAGTGCAGCGCTTTGGGGACATCATCCCACTGGGCTTGCCCCACATGACATCCCGTGACACTGAAGTGCAGGGTTTCCTCATCCCTAAGGTAGGCCCGTGGCCCTCCTCACCCCCGCTCAGCACCTCCTACCATGTGGCAGCCCTAACATGGTCAGGGACTGGAACCCAAGCCACCCAGTCATGTCCACAGGCACTGACTGCGCCGTCTTGGGTGGGCGTGGGTATGAGAGCAGAGGCAGAGTCCCCGGTGGGTGGGGAAGAAAGACCAGTGGTGGAGGAGCCTGCGTGCAGGGCCAGGTGGTGAGAGGCCAGCTACATGGCCCATGGGGACCGGGAGGGCACCAGGACAGGTGTGTTCCAGGCAGTGTGCGCCCGAATGTTTGGTGGCTGGGGTCCCAGCATCCCTCAGCCCAGACGCTACCCACGTCCGGCATTTCCTGCCAGGGGACGACGATTATCACCAACCTGTCATCAGTGCTAAAAGACGAGACTGTCTGGAAGGAGCCCTTGCGCTTCCGGCCCGAGCACTTCCTGGATGCCCAGGGCGGCTTTGTCAAGCCTGAGGCTTTCATGCCCTTCTCAGCAGGTGCCTGTGGGGTGCCCAGCTTGCTATCCCCTCCAGGGTGCCGAGGGAGTCTTGGAGGGATGGAGCCCAGGCCCCAGGCTCACCAAGCCCCCACGCCCTCCCACAGGCCGCCGCTCATGCCTCGGGGAGCCCCTGGCCCGCATGGAGCTCTTCCTCTTCTTCACCTGCCTCCTGCAGCGCTTCAGCTTCTCCGTCCCTGCTGGGCAGCCCCGCCCTAGCAGCCACGGCGCCTACTCTTTCCTGGTGACCCCGGCCCCTTACGAGCTCTGTGCTGTGCCCCACTAGAGGGGGATTCCAAGCCCCCGGCCTGCTCCTCAGCCAGGAGCCCTGATGTACAATAAACCAGTCTGGTGGCTCCAGCCTTAGTTTTGAGTCCTACCCCGGCCCGTTACCAGCCCGGCAGTGGTGGGGCCCCTGCAGCCTCCCCAGGGCCAGCGCCTACCTTGCCTTATCCAGCCTTACCTAGCATTTGACCCCATTTAGAGATGGGTATACTGAGGCTCAGAAAATGACAGCTTACCCTCAGTCACCTATGGAAACCCAATACTGGCTACTTGGGTTGGGAACTAAGTCTACACAAAGGTCCCAGTTCCTGCTGGGAGGGGCTACACTAGGCTGCTCAGGCCGGTAGGAGCGGGAGGGCCTCGCTCAGCCTGAAGCCGAATCTCAGGCCCAACGGCACCTACCTGGCACCACAGGCCAGCAGTTCAGCCAGACCTACTCCCCACTTCACCTATGATACCCACAAGGTGGGGCTCAGGAAGGCTGGGAACTGGCCAGGTTAACACCCAGGCTGTCATCGGATGCTAGAGCAACCCAGGAGCCAGCCACCTCCCTGAGCCTCCCAGTCACCCCAACATTGAATTGGCTGCCTTCTCTGGCCCCTCGGAGATGCTTATGTCCCAGCCCCTCCAGGCTGGAGCTGGGGGACACTTGTCTGGGCTCCAACCCCGGGCACAGTTCTCCGAGCGGCCAGGTCAGGCCTGGCTCTCAGGAGGCTTGGCCAGGAACAGGGAATGAGTCCGTGGGCTGTAGGCATAGGGACAGGGGTGGCCACAGGAGCACATGGGGTCCTTGGAGGAGGACACCCTGGCTCTAGTCCTTGTTCTGTCATGACACTGTGTGACCCTGGGCTTCTGTTTCCCCTTCAACCAATGAGAAGACTGCACCAGATGGCCACTGAGTCCTGACTTCCTGCTCTGACTCTAGGACTGTGACCCTTAGCTCGCCACCCTCCACCTGTGCCCACCCCCAGAACGGACTGGCCCTGGACTGAGCGCAGGGCCTGCCCAGGGGTTTCTAATGACTCTGTCTGCTCACTCCTGTCTCAAGAAGATCACTTGGTGCATTTAGTTAGCAGCTTCGGGACCCCAGACACTCAGGGCAGAAGACCCCCACCCAACAGCATCAGCAGCACCCCTGACAGGTTCCACCAGTGTCATCTAAATGCCCTCATGACAGGGAGCTCCCTGGCGCTCAGCATTAAGGGAACTGATCTGTCGTTGACATGGAGTCGAAGGCCAGCCAGGGCCCCTTCGGCCAGGTGGCAGGAGGTGGTGTCCCTGACGCTTGTTGGGACAGGCAGGGCAGATGGGCCACACTGGGTCTGCAAGGATGTGAGCCCTGAAAGGAGGCAGCGGGGCCACCCCAGCATCACCTTGTATGTTTATTGGACAGTTTGTCATTTGTGCTTCTGAGCCTCAGGGCTGTCAGAGGCCGGGAACCAGCCGAGCCAGAGCGTCCTCAGGAGCTGGGGGACCCACCCCCCAGGCCTGTCCTTGCTCTCCACCGCAGAGGCCTCTACAAAACAAACAGGCGTGCCCTGTGGGCCGCTGGCAGGAACCTTTCCCAGGGCTGGGGCTCCCAGTGCCGCGATGGGGGATGCGGAGCAGGCAGCAGGTGCCAGGTCTGGAGGCCTGCCTGCCAGGGAGAGGGCAGGAGGCAGGAGGCTCAGGAAGGCTGGGGCTTCTGGCTTCCTGGACTTCTCCCCTCCGCAGGGCAGGAGGGTCTGAGAGGAGCTGGGTGACTGGGGACCTCCGCAGGGGCACTGACATGAGCGAGGGGGGCAGGCCTGCTGCGGCAGGGTGGGGTGCTCTTACCAGAAGGATATACAGCCATCTCCGTGTGGACCTTTTCATTTCCCTAGGAAAGCAGGAGCACAGTGGGGGGATGAGACAGGCTCTACATAGTGCAGATGGGGAAACAGGCCTCACTACATAAGTCAGGGGAGGCCAGGATTCAGACCACTCTCTGCTCCACAGACAGGGCAGCTTGGCCCAGTCCTCTCGGGGATGCCCCAGCCCTCCTCCCCTCCCCCACCCCCAGCGCTCTGGGGCTCCTCAGTAGGACTCATACCTAGGATGCTCCAGTTGAGGCACCAGGCTCCTTACCTCACAGCCTGGGGTTCCTGCCACCTCCTTCCCCTCAGTCACTTCCTTCCCAGCAGGAGTGGGGCTGGCTGCTTCCTGTCCCAGGGACCTCACCTCCCCCTCATCCTGAGACAGGATGCCAGGCTCCTCCTCGGGGGCAGCATCCTTCAGTCCTCCCATTGCCTTGGGGGTCACAGCCTGCCAAGAGACCAGTAAGCATCGTGCGGGCCCAGGGGCCCTCAGAACGCCTCATCCCTCCCCATTCCCCATATGTGAGGTGTGTCTAGTTCTTTGTTTCCCGGGAAGTCCTTCCCTTCTCAGATGGAGCTGCGGGGGGGTTGCTAGCGTCCTGGAGGGACCCTGCCACTGCCCTGGGACTCACGGAGCAGACAGGAGAGAGCCCAGCCTGGACCCTTCCAGGAGAGGCCTCACTCACCTCAGAGGCTTGCTTCTTCCCGCTCCTGCCTCTGCGTCTCTACAGAGGGGAACCACCGTGAGTGGCTGGGAGTCCCTCCCTGCCCAGCCTGGCCTCCCCCTGTGTCTACCAAGGGCGCCCAGGACGGCCACCTCACTCGGGGGAAGAGTCCCCTCCATCACCCACCTGAGTTGTCACAGGGTAGCACTTATCCATCAGCCCCCACAGTGGCCTTAAGGTCTGTCCGCTGGGCTGCATGAGAAGGAGAGAGGAGGGCGGGAGGGCTGAGGTGTGGGCTGAGGGCTCCTGGCCCACTGTGAGTGCCCACCGACACCTAAAGGCCTCCGGCACTGAAGGGAACTTCGAATGACAATTTATGTCCCTAGAAAGATAAAACTTTGCATTCATGAATGAAACAAGAATAGGCTCTCAAACAGAAATGTTCAAACATCAGCCTCTAATTCTTGAAAAACAAAACTATGATATGATTATGGGAATGAAAAATCCAATCAGTGTAAAAGATGAAGTTGAAAAAAAGTATTTCCCAGAAAGAAAAAAATATCAGGAGGACCAACAGCTAAACCATAGATCCTTCTGAAAGCAGAACAGAGGCAACAGACTGGAGTGACAGGAGATCCTAAACAAATACATTCATTTTTTATCAAGACAATTTCCCAAAGAAGAGGGACATGAGTTTGCAGGAGAGAAGGAATAACCAAGTGTCCATGACAATGGATAAAGAAAACCCACCCCAGATTGTCCTCAGTGAATTTTAGAATCCTAAGAACAAAGAAAACCTAAGACTTTTATTTTATTTATTTATTTATTTATTTATTTATTTATTTATTTATTTATTTATTTTTATCCTCAGCTGAGGACATTTTTGCATTTTTTGTTCAGACAGAGCGGGAGGGAGAGAGAGGAAGAGAGAGAGAGAGAAACATCGATGTGAAGGGACACATCGAGTGGCTGCCACCCGCACGACCAACCAGGGCCGGGGACAAACTGCAACCGAGGTACGTGCCCTTAGCGGGAACCAAACCCGGGTCTCTCTGTACCGCAGGCCGACGCTCTAACCGCTGAGCCAAACCGGCCAGGGCGAAAACCTAAGACTTTTAAATACCAACATTTGAAGCCAGAAGACTGTGAGGATCTTCAGAATCTGTGGAAAAATCATTTCTGGTGTAGAATTCTGTACCCGACCACACTCTCAGACAAGCATGAACTAAGCCCTCGCGGGTAGGTAATATCACAAGACCGCCCATCGGGAAGCACCTGGAGGCTGCGCTCCGCCAGGGCACCCACACAGGAGAGATGTGAAGCGCCTCATTGGGTCCAGCATCCACTTGTGTCCTGACCAAGGGCTGGGAGAGGGGCTTCTGCCATGGGTTCTTGGACCTGGGACATCAAAGAGGGTGTCCGAACCCAGGCAGGAGTCCTGTTCACCACCATGCTGCTCACCTATGCATGCAGAACCATGTCCCAGTGCTACTCACATGATTTGGAGTCACCTGCTCCGAGTTTGTCTGGGCCACAGCCACCGAGCCCTGAGGTGACCAGACAGCCAGCCACAAGGGGTGGGGCCTGTGTTTTAACTCTTTGCCAGAAACAGGAAATTTCTCCAGAACCCTCACATTCACACCCACACACACCCACACACGGTTGACCATTTGAGGCCAGGGAGCCCACCCCAGCCTCTAGACCCTGACAGGTGCTCACCTGTGAGGACTCCCCAGCAACCTCATGGTCAGGAGCTGCGTTCCTCAGAGACTCCTGAAAGTAGTAGTAGATCATTCCTGCAGGTCGGTAAAGGAAGACTAGTGAAAATATTGAAAAGAGTGATGTGATTGATTATTTTATAGTGTTGGTATTTACAACATCCTTTAAAACTGCTTGTAGCCCTGGCCGGTTTGGCTCAGCGGTTAGAGCGTCCGCCTGCGGTCCGGAGAGACCTGGGTTCGGTTCCCGCTAAGGGCATGTACCTCAGTTGCAGTTTGTCCCCAGCCCTGGTCGGTTGTGCGGGTGGCAGCCACTTGATGTGTCCCCTTCACATCGATGTTTCTCTCTCTCTCTGTTCCTCTCTCTCCCTCCCACTCTACCTGAACAAAAAATGGAAAAATGTCCTCGGGGGAGGATTAAAAAAAAAAAAAAACTGCTTGTAAACTATGAAAGGTATTAGGTATTAACTTAAAATGTGTGAGGGTGTAATAGTTTTTCTAAAGGTATGCAAGCAAAAATTTGAAAGTCATTGCTATAGGACATCATTAGGTTGTGTGGCTTTTTTGTCTTGTGGGTGGTTGTTTTTTGGTTTTGTTTCTGCAGGGGACAGAGCATGGGCATCAGGGTTAGACATGGGTTCATAGGTTCGTGCCAGCCCCACTGTGAAGGTGCAGAGGGAAGAAGGGGGAAGGCCCGCCTGGGCTCTGAGCAGTGTGCCAGCCCCTGGGGAGCCAGGCCTCTGGGAGCCCTGGAGGGCGGCTGGGCCTGGGTGTCTCTGAGAGGAGAACCAGTTCCCCAGGTCCTGCCATCACCCCCCGCTCACCCCTGCACCCAGGCCCTTACCGGCAAGAATGAAGATCTGCACTACGTACAGGAACTTGCAGAGCCTGGAAGGAAAGCAGGCCTGAGTGTGAGGCTGGGGTCTCTCATGCCCCCACCAGTGGGTACTGGCTTTGCTCCCCAATCCAGGACCTACTTTCCTGGGGTGTGTCCAGTCACCACTGTGGATGAAGAAATCTGTCAGCTGCCACAGGGCTCAGCCTGGGCTCCGTGCTGACTGCTGTCATGACTCTGTGCCTCTGCCTACTTCAAAAGCCAGACTTGGAGCCTGGAGCAGACAAGGAACCCAGCCCCCCTCTCCCCCTTTCCTTCCTTCCTTGTATCCATGGGTCCATCGTGCCTCTCCAGCCAGAAAGCAGGGACCTGAGCTTGGCTGGGCACTCACAGGTGCCCATTCAGGGCTGGGTTAGCTCTTCCCCCACAACCCTACAAAGCCCTCCCTACTCTGGATTGAGAGATCCCACCGTGGGGTTAGACATCATATCCCAGGACCCACCTTCCTTTTCTGTGACCCCTCTCTTGGGACAAGTAGAGCATTTTGGCATTGCCAAGACAGTGGTTACCACCTACATACACACAACACAGCCATGTCCCACCTGCCAGGCCCAGCCTCCACCCTGACCGAGTCCCAGAGACACTCTCACAGTCAGGGGAAAAGTTACAGAGAACCCTGTTTTCCTTCCTCTTGTGCCCTAGTGGGGTTTCCCCTTTCTGATCATTTGGCACATGGTACCAGGGCCCACCTAAACTTTACCTCTCCCTCTGGCAGCATATACCAAACACCATTTTCAGTCTAAGAAGAAAAGAAAGGCAACAGTCAATGTATCTCATAGGTCCAGGTCCCGGTGGTCCTTAACTCCGTGTCGTGCAGGAATCACAACAGACCAGAGGCGGCTGGGGGAATGGCAAGGACCTCCACTGGCAGGGCTCAGCCAGCGCATGGCCTGCTGGTCACAGAAGGAGGCCAGACTCAGGATGGAGTGGGCTAGCACTAGGAGCTTGGGAAATGCAGAGAAATTTCTCCCAAGACCTCAGAGCCCCAAAGAAAAGATGGGAAGGTAGGTCCCAGGGCAAAGAATGGGAAAGGGGGGAGGATAGGATGAAGGAAGAAGGTATATCTCTATTGAACATTTGGTATAAAATGTCCCTAGGTGTAGGTGGTGAATTGTAACAGTAAATAATAATGATAGGAAACACTTTAGAGTATTTTCTGGGTTATGCAGCATTGGGGGAATAATTTGGGGAATTCCGGGGGAGAGTCCCTAACCTCCCCAGAATATTCTATCTGGATCCCCACCATCAGTGTCAGCATTCCCTACAAACTGACGCCATTGTAAAGTCAAGGTCTCCAATGTGAGCTGGACCCTGGATGTGGCCTGGTGAACCCCCGTTTCCCAAATTAGCTCCCATTTTCCACAGGGACTATTTCAGAATCTCTCTAAAATTTAAACCTCCATCGATGGGAGTTCCCTTCACTTTCTGCCACCAAACCCACCCATTCATTCTCTGCTTCTCACAAGCCATTTCTTCCTCAAGGGAGGAGGCTGCCCTCCCCTCTCTGGGACCTGCCCCCTTCTGTACTGCCTTCCATCTGGTCCTCTCACAACCTGGGCATTGGGGGGTCTCCTCTCTCATATATTCAGCCTTTCCTTCTCTAATGGCTCCTTCCTATCAGCATTTAAACACATCACTCATCTCTTCCATTAAAAAAAAAAGGCCTCCCCCTGGCCGGTTTGGCTCAGCGGTTGGAGCATTGGCCCTCAGACCAAAGAGTCACAGGTTCGATTCTGGTCAAGGGCACGTACCTCGGTTGTGGTTGGATCTCCAGCCCTGGTTGGGGTCATGTGGGAGGCAACCAGTTGATGTGTCTCTCTCACATCGATGTTTCTCTCGCTCGCTCTCTCTTTCTCTCTCTCTCTCTATTCCCCTTCCTTCCTCCCTCCCACTCTATCTCAAAAATCAATGGGAAAATATCCCAATGGGAAAATATCCTCAGGTGAGGATTAAAAATAAATAAATAAAAGGCCTTCTCTCTGAACCCATATCCCTTCCCCAGTGACAGTCCTACCTACTCCCTAGCCTTCACCCCAGTCTCCTTGAGAGAGCCGTCTACAGTGCACGTCTTCACCCCTCTCCACCTCTCCCCGCCCCACAGCCCGCCTCAATCTGCTTCCGTCCCTGTAAGTCCCTGACACTCTCACCAAAGTCACCAATGTGCCCCTAGTCACCAAATCCAGTGGCCCCTTCTGGCCGTGGCTCACTTCATTCTCCGCAGGGCGCTCGCTACAGCACTTCAGTGTCCCCTTGGTCACCCCCTCCGGAAGCGCTGATAGCAATGTCTTCAACAGTAGCTTTGTCAGCCATTCATAACTAAGTCGTTATCACCAGTGTGAGTGAAGTATGAGGCTTTTTCTGAGAGGAGGTTTGGAGGAGGAATGGAGAGAAAATGAGTCCTGAAGGAAAGGAGAAGAGGGAGAGGAGGGGGAGGCCAAGTAGGAAGGGAAGCCCAAAAGGCAGGCTAAGAGAGTAAAGACAATTTTCACCTGCTTAGGTTGTTTATTGCCTTTCGAGCCTACTTACCAAATATGCCAACCTCGATGACACTAGCAATCTGCAGAGTATCCTTTGACCATACGTGTGCAGGCGGCCTGCTCACCTCCCTCAGGCTCCAGGGCCGAGCCTGCGAAGGGCGCAGGAGCCAGCTAAGCCTAGGAGCCCAGAATACAGCCCCTCCCTTTGCAAAAACAGTGCTCTCTGTGTGTGACATCACATCTTAGGGGGCTTTATGACAGGACAGACAACCTCTCCAACCTTGGCCAGCGCAGTTTGTCAGTTGCCTCTGGTGGTTTTAAATCCCCACCAGTCAGAGCCAGCACCTTGGTGGATATCTCTGTGGTTCCATTCAATGCCATCAACACTGCCTGAGCCACTACAATATGTCAAGCTCTGTAGGAAGTCCTGTAGGGACACAAAGACACAAAGGTGTATAAAATTCAGTCTTGTCACCTAATACAATAAACATATTTTCTGAATCAAAAACCAGAACACAGCCTGACAATGTCCAAGTGTCATCCATTCATTAATCAGTGTCTGCTGAGCTTCCGGTTGGGGCCAGGAATAATTCCAAGGGAACAGAAAGGTAAACAGGATGCAGAGCCTTCCCTTGAGGGGCTTGAAGACATCAAATCGATATCTTCTTATTCAAGACAATAAGTTCTACCCTCCCCAAATTACTATAAATGTAGCTAAATAATAATTACAAAACTATGATGGTTTAAACCAAGGAATGCCCGAGTTTCACATACCCATGAAACACTAACCAAGATAGACCATAAAACAAGTCTCAGTAAATTTTAAAATATTAAAATCATTTCAAGTATGTCTTTTGACCACAATGGAATTAAATTAGAAATCAGTAACAAAACATTCCCTGAAAAAAATCCCCAAATACTGGGAAACTAAACAATATACCTTTAAATAACATATGAGTAAAATTAAAAGTAAAAATGGGCCCTGGTCCAGTAGCTCAATTGGTTAGCGCATCATCCCCAAATAGCAAGGTTGTGAGTTTGATCCTCGGATAGGGCACACACAAGAGTCAACCAATGAATGAATAAATAAGTGGAACAACAAAGCTCTCTCTCTCTCTAAAATCAATTTTTTAAAAGTCAAAAGGAAAGTTATAAAGTATATTGAACTGAATGAAATGAAAAAAAAAAAATTGTAGGATGCAGTTAACACAGTACATAGAGAGAAGTTTATAGCACTAAGATACCTATATTAGAAAATAAGAAAAAGTCTTAAATCAATGACCTTAGTTTCTATCTTATAAAAAAGGAAAATGGAGGAGCAAATAAAACTCAGAGTAAGAACAAGAAAGAAATAAAAAAGATCAGAGTGAAAATAATAAAACAGAAAATAGAAAAGAAAAAAAAATCAATGAAACCAAAAGCTGGTTTTGTGAGACCAGCAAAGTATATAATCCTCTAGATAGAATAGATTAGGGAAAAAAAGAAATAACACACAAATGATCAATATCAAGAATGATGAAGGTGCTCGGCCAGTGAGGCTCAGTGGTTGAGTGTCGACCCATGCATTAAGAGGTCGCCAGTTCGATTCCCAGTCAGGGCACATGCCCAGGTTGTGGGCCCAATCCCCAGTGGGGGGCATGCAGGAAGCGGCCAATGGATGCTCTGTCTCATTGATGTTTTTATCTCTCTCTCCCTTTCCCTTCCTCTCTCTCTAAAATCAATAAAGAAAACAAAATTTTAAAAAAGAATGATGAAGGTGACATTGATGCTACAGATACTAAAATGATGCCCTGGCCGGTTTGGCTCAGCGGTTAGAGCGTTGGCCTGCGGTTCGGAGAGACCTGGGTTCGGTTCCCGCTATGGGCACGTACTTCGGTTGCAGTTTGTCCCCGGCCCTGGTTGGTCATGCGGGTGGCAGCCACTCGATGTGTCCCTTTCACGTCGATGTTTTTCTCTCTCTCTCTCTCTCTCCCTCCCTCCCACTCTTAAAAAATAAATAAATAAATAATAAATAAATAAATAAATAAAATGATAATGAGGGAATGTTTGAACAACCCTATGCCAATAAGTTTGACAATGTAGATAAAATGGACAAAATCTTTAAAAGACACAAAGTACCAAAGTTCATGCAAGAAAAAATATATAACCTGGATAATCCTGTACCTATTAAAGATGCTAACTTAATTTAACTTTCCCACAGAGAAAACTTCAGACCCATCTGGCTTCACTAGTAAATTCTACCAAACTTTTAAGAAATAAATAATATAGCCCTGGCCGGTTTGTCTCAGTGGTTAGAGCATCGGCCTGTGGACCAGTGAGGCCTGGGTTCGATTCCGACCAAGGGTACGTACCTCAATTGTGGTTCGTCCCCAGCCCTGGTCAAAGTCGCATGGGAGACAATCAGTCAATGTGTCTCTCTTGCATCGATTTCTCTCTCTCTCTCTCCCCCTCCCACTGTGTCTAAAAAAAAAAGGTAAATGAAAAAATGTCCTCAGATAAGGATTAAATAAATAAATAATATAAATTCTATACAAACTCTTCCAGAACAACATGAAGGAATACTTCCTAATTCATTCTGTGAAGGAAACATTATTCGATATCAAAACCAGACAAAGACTAAAATAAAACTACAACGCTGGCTGGTTTGGCGTAGTGGTTGAAACATTGGCCCTTGGACTGAAGGGTTCCAGGTTTGATTCATGGTGAAGGGCATGTGCCTGGGTTGCAGGTTCAAACCCTGGCCCTGATCAAGGTATGCAGGAGGCAACCAACTGATGTGTCTCTTTCACATCAATGTTTCTCTTTTTTTCTCTCCCTCACTCCCTCCCTTCCACTCTATGTAAAAATAAATGGAAAAATATCCTCGAATGAGGATTAACAAAAATAAATAAATAAAACTACAGCTCAACATCCCTCATAAACATAGATGCAAATATTATTAATGAAATCTTATCAAATTGAAACCAACAACATATAAAAACGATAATACATCATTACCAAAGGAGTTTATCCTCATGAATGCAAGGTTGGTTCAACATTCAAAAACCAATCCATATAATTCACCACATAAACAGACTAAAAAAGCAAAACCATATGATTATCTCAATAGATGCATAAAAAAAATAGATCAAATCAACATCGGTCCCTGAAAAAACTCTCAGCAAACTAGTAGTAGTTGGGAAAATCCTTAACCTGATGAACAACAGTTATGAAAAATACAGAGCTAATAGTAAATACACTCAATAGTAAAATACGGAATGCTATCCCCCTAAATTCAGGAATAAGGCAAGGGTATCTGCCTTCATCACTTCTATACAACATTTCACTAGAAGCTCTGGACAGTGAACTAAGTCAAGAAAGAGAAATGAAATGCAACCAAATTGGAAAGAAAGAACTAAAATTGTCTTTATTTGTAGACAACGTGACTGTGTATAAAATCCTATGGGATCATCCAAAAAATTACTAGAGTTTAGTAAGGTGGAAGAATATAAGGTCAATATATAAAAAAATCAATTATATTTGCTGTGAACCTAAAACTGCTCTAAAAATAAAAATCAATTCTATTTCTCTTTTTTTTTTTCTTTATTGATTTTAGAGAGAGAGGAAGGGAAAGGGAGAGATAGAAACATCAATGAGAGAGAACATCCACTGGCTGCCTCCCGCATGCCCTTCACGGGGGATTTGGCCCACAGCCTGGGCATGTGCCCTGATCAGGAATCAAACCAATGACCTTTTGGTGCATGGGTCAATGCTCAACCACTGAATCACACCAGCCAGGCCAATTTTATTTCTATATAATAGAAATAAACAATTGGGAATTTAAAAATTTTAAATACCATTTGTCAGATCATCAAAAATATGAAATACTTTGGGGGCAAACCTGACAAAAGATGTGTGTAAGACCTGTATGCTAAAAACTACAAAACAGTGCCAAAGAAATTAAAGAAGACCTAAATAAATGAAAGGATATACCACGGTCATGGATCAGAAGATCCAATATTATTAATGTGTCAATTCCACCCTCAAAATGATCTAATGACCTAGTGTAATCAAAATAAAATCCAGCAAATTTTTGTTGTTGAAACCAATATGCTGTTTCTGAAGTTTAGATGGAAATACCAAAAACTAGAATAGCCAAAAATTTATAAAAAACAAAACTGAACAGTAATCAAGAAAGTATGAGATTGTTGATGTCAAGATAAATGAAACAGAATAGAGTCCAGATATAGATCCATATATTGTCAATTAATTTTAGACAAAGGTACAAATGCAATGTAGTGGAGGAACTATATAGTCATTTTAATAAATGGTCATGGAACAATTGGATATTTATATGGGAAAAATGGACTTTGATTCATATCTCACACCATATGCAAAAAATTGATTCAAAATTGACCATAGCCCTGGCTGGTTTGGCTCAGCAGTTAGAGCATCAGCCCTGCGGACCAGAGGGACGCGGCTAAGGTTCCCGCTATGGGCATGTACCTCGGTAGCAGTTTGTCCCTGGCCCCAGTTGAGGTCGTGTGGGTGGCAATCAGTCGATGTGTCTCTCTCTCATCAATGTTTCTCTCTCTCTCTTCCCCCCTCTCTCCCTCCCACTCTATCTGAAGATAAATGTAAAAATAATAATAATTTGACCATAGACCTAAATGTAAAACTTAAAACTGTAAAACCTAAAACTGTAAAACTTCCAGAAGAAAGCACAAGAGAAAATCTTTGTGACCATGGATTAGGCAAAGATACCTCAAGTATAATACCTGACTCACGATGCATAAAAGAAAAAAAATTGATAAACTAGACTTCATCAAAATTGAAATCTTCTGCTCCTCTAAAGACACTATTAAGAGAATAAATAGAGCCCAGCTAGTGTGGCTCAGTGAACTGAGCTTTGTCCCATGGCCTGAGAAGTCCCAGTTCGATTCCTGATCAGAGCACACACAAGGGTTGTGGGCTTGATCCTCGGTAGGGGGTATGCAGGAGGCAGCCAATTGATGTTTTTCACATTGATCTTTCTATCTCTCCCTTCCTCTCTCTTTAAAAAATCAATAAAAACATATTTTAAAAAAGAGAGAGAATAGCTCTGGCCAGTTTGGCTCAGCAGTTAGAGCGCCCGCCCATGGACAGAAGAGTTGAGGGTTTGATTCTGGTCAAGGGCACGTACCTGGGTTGCGGTTCGGTCCCCAGCCTCAGTTGGGGTCGTGCAGGAGGCAGAAAATCAATGTGTCTCTCTTGCATCGATGTTTCTCTCTCTCTCTTTCTCCCTCCTACTCTATCTGTAGATAGATGGGAAAGTGTCCTTGGTGAGAATAAAAATTAAAAAAAAAAAATTAAGAGAGAGAGGATAAACAGAAAGACAAGGCATAAACTAGGAGAAAATATTTGCAATTTTTTGTTTTAAATAACAATAAAGAAACATGCGCCC